CTGCTTTTATATGTTGGCAACTAATTCAGTATTTTTAACGGTTGCACAAACCCAACACATCACATATACTGGCCTGCGAGGGTCATCAGTTTGTGATCGTATGGGCCTTGGATAGCAAGAGTTTGTTAAATGGGGTCTGGTTTATTTAACCTCCGAAGTGCCACGGTGTCAGTGGGTATAATTATAGTACCGACCTCATAGTGGTGTGATGAGGCCGTGAGTTAACAAAAACGTAAAGCTTTAGGACCGTGCCTGACACCTCGTAGGTACTGTGAAAGTACTAGCACTGCATCCTAGCAGAACTGTGAGCTAGTACAGTTGTCCCCTCTTTCTATTGAGCCAGTAGCACTCAGACATTAGTAGGTTTTCTCAGAAAATAATTGTTATGAATCAGTGGGTTTCTACGTTTTTAATTAAAAACACACCCGAGGTGCAGAAAGGTGACTGATGCTGTTTTGGAAATCAGTCTCGGGAATATTAGACTCTTAACCAAGCCTAGGTTTGGAGGTGCTGAGAGGAGGAAGTTTTTACCACTGAGGTGTTCAAGTTTGGAGGATCAGGGAGAGACTCAGTACAACAAAATATAAAAATGCAGTTGGAATGAGAAGTTGTTATGTTCAGGTTTGGGTCTGTTGGGTGGGAACTGCCGTGGGAAGGGAAGGGGACAGTGGAAATGCAGGGTTGGTGTTTGGGAATGAGATCCAGGCTAGGGTCTTGGTGGGGGTGGTAATGGTGCTATACATAGTGCTATAATGGTGCTATACATACTCATTCATTCCACAACTATTGGTGAATATGCCAGGACTTCCGTGGTGCTCCAGTGGTTAAGAATCCACCTTACAATGCAGGCAATGCCAAGTTGACTCCTGGTTGGGGAACTAAGATCCCTCATGCCTCAAAGCAACTATGCCCACACACTGCAACTAGAGAGCCCATGCGCCATAAGGAAATATCCTGCATGCTGCAACTAAGACCCGGTGGAGCCAAATGACATAAGTGAAACTAGTTTATGTGGACGTTGACTCAGAGTCAGGCACTTACAATCACATATCTCACAAATGTCTCAAAAATGATAAGGAACACTGGCTGCTATCTGGTCATTACCGTACTACATGCTCTACCCCGTGCTACATGCTTTACCTACATAACATGATTCAGCTCCTACAGCTCCTTGGGAGTCAGCTCACTTGTTACCTGCATGTTACGCAGAAGGAAAGTGGAGGAAGACCGAGGAGCTTGGTCAAGGTCTCAGCCCCGAGTAAGCGGCTCAGGAGGGCTGAGGGACACTCACTCACTCTGGTCTTCTCTCGAAAATCTCTCATGTGTTTCTTTCTCTGTGTATTTTTTATTACTGTGATCCTCATGCTGCACTGTCACATGACTGCTTTCTCACTGCTTTTTCTACCCAGACAGTGAGCTAGATGCGGGCAGGAAACAGATCTCTCTTGTTCATCGAGTTCTCCCCTCCTTCGGGAAGTCTTCACTCACCATCTCAGCCTATGCCAGGTGCCTCCTGTGGGCCCTCAGAGCTTGTTGTGTTTCCCCCATTACAGCCCTGGCCCCTCTGTTTCTACCTCCCAGGCTGGCCCACTCTGGGCTGCCACTGTCTGATCACCTGTCAGTTTCTGCAGTTGCCTAGGAACCCAGTGAGGGTAGAATCTGAGGTGCATCACCCAGTCCCAGAATTGGGCACAGAAAGATATCAGTCAATATTTGTTGAATAGATAGACGAGTGTGTTCCACAGTTGCTATCATAGTCCTGTGTTACTGATGAGGATACAGAATCACAGGTAATTTAGGTGATTTGTCCAAGTCAACAACTAGTGAGAAAATAAGCAGGAATTTGAATCTGGGCAGCTTGAATCCATGGCCTATGTTCTTACCCAGCTATGCCAGATGCCTACCGGTCTGAAAACCAGCTTTCCACGAGGCTATCTTCCTGCTCTTTTCCCCAGACTTGTTCTTTCCTTCTAGAAAGGTGCGGGAGCTTTGGGCATAAGGGAGGCGAGCAAGCAGCAGAGTGGGGAAGGTAAGAGGAATGGGAAGAAGGGTATTGAAGAGAGTGGGGTTTTGAGGGGTTTCTCTAGACCCATAGGGGGCAGCCGGAGTCGGCTGTCGGAGGTGCGGGGGCGGAGAAAGGGTGGGGACCAGCCCCGCGGGGGGCGATGCGGTAGCTGCAGCGGCGGCCGCAGGAGTTTCCCACAATGCAGCGCGGCGCGCTGTCCCCGGTGCTGATGCTCAGCGCTGCCCCGGAGCCTCCGCCGCGCCCGCCTCCCGTCCTTTCCCCGCCGGGCCCCAGCCCCCGCCATGGGTCGGCTCGGTCCAGTCCTACCCCAGAGGCTTCGGGAGCCCTGGGTGCGGCGCTCGACAGCAGCCTGCGGGCCGCCGTGGCGTTTAAGGCTGAGGGTCAGCGCTGCTACCGGGAGAAGAAGTTCCGGGAAGCCATCGGCAAGTATCATCGAGCGCTGCTGCAGCTGAAGGCGGCGCAGGGAGTCCGCCCGGGAGGCCTGCCCGCCCCCACCCCCGGGCCCGCCACCAGCCCCGGGCCAGCCCGCCTCAGCGAGGAGCAGCGGCGCCTGGTGGAGAACACAGAGGTGGAATGTTACGACTCCCTCACGGGTACGGCCGTCGGGGAACGCAGAGGATGCCTATGTGAAAGGCGCGGGACGTGAGAGGCACTCCTCAAGCCTTGGGGTGGGGGCTGGAGGCTCGAAGGGGTTGGGGCTGGGGTCTGTGAGGTGGGGGGAAGAACTGAAAACTTGATCAGGGAGAGGCGTTGGGAGTCTAGGGGGCCACAGGGATGGAAGGAGCTAGGATGCAGGAAATGGGCTTTGGGCTGCCACCTGCGAATCTCAGGTGATAAAAACTTACCCTGGAGGAGCCATTCAAGGACCCATCCCTCACCACTTCTGAGATCGCCCTTAGTACTCTCCCTAACAGACACCTCCCAGCTAAGCAAGCTCCGAGAGCCCCGCTCTGTGTTTTTCGCGCCCTCTAGCGGCGGCGCAGATTGATTCTGTCTTGATTGGTCAGAAGCTTGGCGTTCCCCGGTGGCCCGAGCAAGCCTGTAGGCTGCGCTCCGCCGTCTGAAAGGGAAGGGATTGATTCTCTGGGGCCTGAGGGCCAGGCTCCTCGCGATCGGCTGAGGCCTCGGTGTCGACAGGCTATGAGAGCACCGGTCCTGCCTCCCGCAGCCTGCCTCCTGCAGTCGGAGCTGGTGAACTATGAGCGGGTGCGCGAGTACTGTCTCAAGGTGCTGGAGAAGCAGCAGGGCAATTTCAAGGCTACCTACCGAGCCGGCATTGCCTTCTACCACCTGGGCGACTATGCACGCGCCTTGCGCTACCTGCAGGAGGCCCGCAGCCGGGAGCCCACAGGTGAGGGGCGGGGTGGGAGAGAGAAGGAAACAAGGCAAGGAGTCTGAGGGCAGAGCGGCTTCAGGGAGTGCTGTACCCCCTACCCCACGTCCACTCTCTTCCCATCTACTCCTTACACACACACACTCATCCACTCACCTGCAGTCATTCGTGTCCACTCACCTGTCGTTCCTGACATTCACCCAACCACCTCTCTTCGGTCATTAACCCACCCTGATAACCTTCTGTTCACCTATTCAGCCACTTTCCTGGCCACTCACAACCTCCCCCCGCCCCCCCCCCCCCCCCAGCAATCTCCACTAACCCCTCCCCACTCAAGCTCATTCACCTACTCACTAACCCATTCACACACTCACCTATTCATTCACCTTTCCTGGCAATGCCAGAGAAGTAGCAGGGGGAGGTGTTGGCAGACCTGGAGGCTTGTTCCTTGCCCTGTGGGAAATCATAGGGGGTGTGTGTATGTGTGTGTGTGTGCAATGCCAGAAAATTAGCAGGTTGGCAGACCTGGAGGCTTACTCCTTGCTGGTGGGAGATCATAGGTGGTGTGTGTGTGTCTGTGTGTGTGCACATGGGTGGAGGAGAAAGAAGACTCAGTTCTGTATTAATCATCAATGAAGGAGGAGCACAACAGGTGTATGGCCCAGGGTGTGAGATGAGTTTTCCTGCTACGGGGTTTGGAGAGAACACACTTCCTGCAGTGTCACTGGAGGGTGAGAAGTGCGACAGGAGTCTCTGAGCTCAGGCGTGCCTGGCCGAGGGCACAGCAGATATGAAAGTATGGAGGTGTGACACGTCCTGCTCTGCCTGCTTGGCTGGGCTTTGCGAGAAGGGCTCTGGCGACACAGGCTGTGTGGGGGACCCAGTGGAGGATGGGGACCATGACATATGAGCCAGGGTGCTGCGGATGTTACCTGCTGCCCCAGGACACACAGATAATACCCTGTCTGCCTCCCCTGCAGACACCAACGTCCTGCGCTACATCCAGCTGACTCAGCTCAAGATGAACCGCTGCAGCCTCCAGCGGGAAGACAGTGGGGCCGGGCCCGGGACTCGGGACATCGTTGGCTGAGGCCAACCTGGGGGGGACTGTCCCTATTCCCCCCCACCCCACCTCACTTCACCGTATAACTTCCCCTGACTCGTGTTCTCTGGTAAAGCACTCGTCACTGGTGACCATAACCTCTTTGTGTGGTATTCTTGTGGGGCCCAGGAGGGGAGAAGGGCTACACACCCTGGACTCAGACCAGAGAGGCCTGGGACGGAGGATGGGGGCTGCTGTGCCACTGGGCATGATCCAGGACCTGGGCCTGGGCCAGGGAAAGACACACAGCCAAACGTGGTAGGGGGCAGGGGTTACCTTTAATGCTGCATTTTGTGCCAAATCCTCTATGACGCCCTGTCCCTGAGTACCCCTGCCCACCCTCCCCCCCACTGCAGGGCAGGCACAGGGCCCCACCCCCTGGGGTACAAAGGAATAAATTAAATGCCCTCCCTCCCCCCTTCCCCAATAAATAGTGAGTATCCTGCCCAGGGCCTCCCCTGCCGTGTGGCATGGTGGGCTGGGGCGGGGCCTGGGGCGCTACATTCATGGCTGCCCAGGCGGGCGGTGGCGGGCAGGCCTCAGCGGGAGCCGTTGGCCCCGCACAGGGGCACTGTGCTGTCCTGGCTCTGCCCCTCCATGTCCATGTCGAGCAGCGTGGGCTGCATGCTGGGGGGCCCCGGGCTCTCTGGAGTGTCTGGCCTGCTGGGAGGCGAGATGCTGAGCGTCTGGCCGAAGGAGACCAATTTCCAGGGGTCCAGGCGGGGACGGCTGGCGGCTGGCCGGGGCCTTGGGGCGAAGGTCAGGGTGGTGGGGCGGCCTGGGAACTCGGGGGGCCGACGACGGGTGGGGAACAGGGCCTGGGGGTCGGGCAGGCGGGGGAAGTCCAGGGCATCTCGAGGGCCTGGTAAGAGAGGATCAAAGGAAGTGAGTGGGGTGGGCCAGAGGGTGGTATTTAAAACGCAGGAGTATTTACATGAAGATTGGAATTGGACTTCTCTTGACAAAAAAATTCTGATTTTGTTGGGCCTGCTGTCCAGCAGGGTTTGGACCTTTACCTCACCACCCCCACCTGCCCCCCACTCCTAACTGCTCACTGGTCTGGGTGCGACTCTGGGCAGCCCTTTATCTTTCAGAGCCCGTCTCCTTGCTAGTACTCCAGACAAAGCCCTCATCCCTCCCACCTCTCCAACACTGGGCAGGCTCACCAAGACCCACAGAGACACCTTAGGCATGTTGCTGTCTGTGAATGGGGATTTCAGCACCTCGGCTACACAGACGAGGATTGAATACAGTAATTGTAGAACGCGTAGCACAGTGCCTGATAGGAGGTCCTTAGTTCCTTTCTGTTCTAATCATCTTTGTCGTGTTAATAAACTATAGAGAACGGGTACCGAACACATTGGTGTTAGCACTAGTGATCGTTGCCATTAACGTCACCTGCCTGGCCCCTGTAGGCATTAAGAGTTCCTACTCCTGCTTCATTCTGCGTCTCAGTTACCCAGGGATCCACAAAGCCTTTTGAAGCGGTGGGGGGCCATGGAGACACTATCTCTCCCCACGCTAAACAAGAGGACTCCACGTCCAGGGCGTCCTTGCTGGGCTGGGACATAGAGCTTTGGCGGGAGCAAGAGAGATGGGCCCTTTTCTGCGCCCGGAGCACGTGGAGCCTCACTCACCAGGGCCGGGGCCCGTGGGCTCTGGCGCCCCCCGCTGCCCCAGCGCCCCATCCGATGGCGTCCGCCGGTGCCCGCGGCTCACAGCGCGCGCGGCCGTGACGTGGGTGGGCGTGAGCGACTGCCGGGGGTCCTTCTTGAAACTCTCCAGCTCCAGGTCCACCAGGGGGTTGGTGCTGGGTGGGGGCGCGGGTGGGGAGGGTGGCGGGGAGGGCGCGGCCGGCGCAGCCTCGTCGCTGTCGGAGCGCAGCAGCGAACGCGTGGAGTTGCAGTCGGACACCGACGACAGTGACACGAGGGTGGCGGAGGGCGCCAGCCCCGGGCCGGGGGCCGCGTCGTCGCGGCGGCCGGGGGAGCGCCCGGTCGGGCTGAGGCCCCGCGGGAAGCGGCCGCCGCGGGGGAAGAAGAGGCCGTCGAGCCAGCGCCGCTGTTCCTCGCCATCCGCTGCGCGCGCCTCGGCCACGTCTGCACCCAGGCCCACGGCGCCCAGCAGCGTGGCGCAGCCCAGCAGCGCGAGCTCGCAACGCCGCCGGGAGCCGTGCCCGGGCCGGGCGGGCGGCGGACTCGGCTCCCATGGCGCCCGCGCCCCCGGGGAGGGCTGGGTGGGCAGCGGCACCGTGAGGTAGGACGGGGTGGTGTAGGGGGACGGGGGCACGCTGTTGCCTCCGTCCGCCTCCGCGAACTCCTCTGCAACCGGGAGAGGGCCGTCACTTGGCCTCTGACTCACTTAACTCTGGGCCCCGGGCCCTTTGGCCCATCCCCCTACCCCGGGACTTGGAGGCAAGGGATTGCCCCCAGTGACCGCACCAACAAGATCACCAAGTCCCACTAAGCGTGGTTCTTGAGTATTTCTCCCCCCAATCCCCCTCCCCTTGGGAATGACCCCCACGACCCAGGGACTAGCTGTCTCCCAATTCCAGGAATGAGTCCTACCCTCTGGCCAGTGAAATCCGTCTCCCTCCGTGCAACCCTGGGGAATGGTCACCCCTTGGTCTTGGGTTATGTTCCCCTTTACCAGGGAATGTCCCTCCCCCTCCCTTTTAAAGGCACCCTCACCCTCTTACCCATTTCATTGAGGCTGGCAAAGCCTGGGGCGATGGGTGTGTGTTTGGGGGATTTGCCCAGGTTGGGTGCACTTGATGACCACTGTTTGCTTCCTTCTCCCAGGGCCTTCAGCCTGCAGAGGGCACCAAAAATTGGGGGGGCAGTCATAGGAGAGAGGCGCAGGGCGTGGGGGGGGGTCCATGCGGCCTGTACCTCTCCTCTCCGCCAGAGCGTTCCTTCTGCAGTGTGGAGCTGGGCCCCCAGGTCCGGCCCTTCTTCTTGCCCCCGACCAGTTCTTCTTTCTTTGGGGGTCCGCTGCTGCGGCCCCACGTCCCACTGCCACCACTGCTGCTGCCACTGGTGCTACAGCCACCACCATCCACGGGGGTCACTGGGCCCAGAGAAGCTACTTGGTCACCGGGTCTCAGCCTGTCCCAGTTGATCTCCAGCCTTACTCCCCGCCTTGGTCTCACCCTCCACCTGGAAGCCCAAGGGAGCTGGGATTCTGACTCCAATCACGACCCTTCCCTGCTAGCCATCCTCACATAGCTCCCTACGGCTGTCGGGACGATGTCCTGGCTTCCTCAGAGTCATCACCTGTCACCCCTCCCCAGTTAACCCTTCAGCCATCCCTTCATTCCCAAATGTTTACTAGCACCGTCTACGTGCCAAGCCCTGTGGGAGGTGCTGAGAAGACAGCAGTGATAAGAGTAGACCAGACACCCTGCCCTGGCCTTGGAAGAATTTACATTTTAGGGGCTGAGGACAGATGATCAACAGGAGTCACCCTAGGTTGTCATCTGGGTCGGGGGCTAGAAGGTGATTAGCAGTGTGGGGCATGGAAAGCTGGTAGTGGGCTCGGGGAGTTAGGGATGGTCTGGTGTGTGAGAAGGAGGGATCTGAGCAGAGACTTGAAGGAGGTGAGGGAGGGAGTAAGGTGGAAACAAGGCAGAGGGAAGAGCAGATGCCAAGTCCCTGTGGAGTGTTCCGGAACAGTCTGTCCCCTACAGAGCCGACTGCTCTCTCTCCTCTGTTCCTATCACACATTGAACATCCTGACCACCATGGTTCAGTCATTATTTGTCTCTGCATCCGCCCAGGAGAATGACCTCTGGGTACAAAGCAGGTGCCCAAACAGCAGTGTGTCGGGGGTGGTGTGTGGGGCAAGGCCAGGGGTGAATGATGGAGCAGAATGGACTGGGGAAGCTGACTGGGAATCCTTCACCTCCTCAGCCAACCCTGTACCTCTGCCATGCGGCTGACAGGCCATCTGCCCCATTCAAGGCCCCCGCCGTGGCCCAGCACCCTCGTCTCACCTTGACTCCTGCCTGCCTACAATCCCTACTCCTCACGGCAGTCAGAGGAAAAAGGTCAAGTTTACTCCATCCCTGCCTTGCTCACAGTCCTCCAGAGGTTCCCCCTCGGATTTCAGATAAAATCCAGATTCCTTACCCCCTCTCTTAAGGCCCAGGGCAATCCTCTCCTGGTAAACCCTTGACCATAAACTCACTGCTCTCCCTCCTATTCTTCCTACTTCATCCAAGTTGGCCTTCCCAGCTGATAATCAGCATACTTGTTCCTGCCTCTGGGCTTCTGCCTTTGCTGTTCCCTCTGCCAGGGACACTGTTCCTTCAGATCTCTACATGTGTCACCCCTCCTGACCATGCAGGTCCCTACTTAAACCTCGGCTTCTCGGAGAATCTTTCTTCGTGATTTAAAAACAGCAACCTTTCTGTTTTATTCCCTGCCCTGATTTCCTTTAGAGTGTGTACCACTACAGGAAGTTATCCTGCTCACCAGCTTGTTTACTTGTTGTCTGTTTCCCCCAGTGATAATGAGGGAGGGGATCCTACCTGCCTGCCCCCCTGATGTTGCTCTGGCTTGGTGCCAGGTATGTGCTCAGGGAAGTCTGTTCACTGACTGCTCAGGACCTTGGGAGATACTCACAGCGAATGGCCCTCAGCCGGGGAATGATGCTGGGGCTTGCGGGTGGGCTGGCCCCATCTGATCCTTTCCGCTTGTCCAGGGTTGGAGAGGCCTGGACTGTGATCTTATGTTCAAAGCCTGCAAAAAGAAAGAGACTTTCCTAAGCACAGGGTTCCATGAGTAGCCAAAGAGAAGTTCCCTTTGAAGGAAGATAGAAGGAATGCCACCATTTTGCATTCCTTAATGCAGTGGTTCTCAAAGTGTGTTCCCAGACGAGCACCATCAACGTCAAGTGGAAACCTCTTGGAAACGCAGATTCTTGATGCCCTCCCTGAATCAGGAACTGTGGGGGTGAGGTGCAGCAACCCAACTGCAGTGTAACAGTACTCAAGTTACCTCTGCTGCTCACTCAGGTTTGAGAGCTGCTGCCCCAAGGATCTAGGCTTGAGTGTCCAATATGGCAGCCATTAGCCACACATGGAAAGTGAGCGCTTGAAATGTGGCTTGTGCAACCAAGGAACTGGAGAGTGTTACCTTTAGTTATTTAGTTGTAAGTAATTTAAGTTTACTTTTAAAAACAGATACTCAGTTCAGTCATTGGAAACATTTAAGTATGTTCGGAACAACTTTGGTATGTGAATCTGCTCTTTCAATGGTACATTTTATGAAGCCTAAATATAGGTCAAGAATTTTTGAGGACAATTTAGAGCCCAGATTGAGATGCACTAAGAATATAAAATGAACATGTGTGCCTAAGTGAAGTCACTTCAGTTCTATCTGACTCTGAGACCCCATGGACTGTAGCCTGCCAGGCTCCTCTGTCTATGGGGATTCTCCAGACAAGAATACTGGAGTGGGTTGCCATGCCCTCCTCCAGGGGATCGTCCTGACCCAGGGATCACACCTGCAACTCCTGCATTGGCAGGTAGGTGAGCTCTTCACTACTAGTGCCACCTGGCTTCCCTGGGGGCTCAGCTGGTAAAGAATCTGCCTGCAATGTGGAAGACCTGGGTTCAGTCCCTGGGTTGGGAAGATAACCTGGAGAAGGGAAAGGCTACCCACTGCAGTATTCTGGTCTGGAGAATTCTATGGACTGTATAGTCCAGGAGGTCACAAAGAGTCAGACATGGCTGAGCAACTTTCACTTTCAGTGCCACCTGGGAAGCTCATAAAATGCACACTGGATTTCAAAGGTTTAGTGTGGGAAAAAAAGAAGGTAAAATAGCTTATTTAAAAATTTTCTTGTAATGACTACACATGAATATGGGGCTAAACAAAATACACTAATACACTATTAAAGCTAATTTCACCTGTTCCCCCCCCCCCCCGCTTTTTTCATATGGCTACCAGAAAATGTAAAATGACACATGTAGCCTGCATTATATTTCTGTTGGCTGGTGTTATTCTAGGCACTGTTCTAGGGCTTGTAACATCTCTTGTAACAGAGAGACTATCAGCATGAAGTGCCTTCTGACATTACCTAGAAGGCAGTCTTCAAAAAAAAAATCAAACCTGAACTTAAAACTGATCCTTGAGATCCAACTCTTAGGTTGAGCCATGTAAAACTTCTGTTTCTATAGGTCAAAAATGGCTGAACACCAGCAATTTGACATGGTTTAACCTAATACCAATTGATAGGAAATTCAGGGAACAGAGGGACATGTTAAGAGATACCAGGGAGCTGCAAGCAGCAAAATTCAGACTATGGGAAATGCTCTGGGATAAATGAGGCAAGGAGGACAAAGAAGAAGACTTAAAAAGATAATAAAAAAAATAGCTGGGAGTCAAAACTACGAGGAAAAGTAAGGAAGTGATGGCCCTGAAAGTCAAGGCAGGTGTTTACTCTTAGGAAGTGGCAGGGGGATTGTTTGGAGGGGGCGTGTGCAGGCATCTGGAGTGGCTGTAGGGTCTCTCTGCTCTCCTGGGAGATTCTATTAATGCATTAAGCTATACAGTTTTTTGGGGGTCATTTTCTGTAGTTGTGATACATTTAGTAGTAGTAATTTTAAAAGGCTTGAAAAATAAAGAAATAAAAGGAAGAGATGACCCCTGGGTTAGCGCTGCTCCCAGAGGCCTCTCAGGGCTGCTGAAGGGGCGTGGGCGGGTACCGGAGGGCAGGCTGATGTGGCTGCCGCCTTCCCGCAGCTTGAGCAGGCGGCTGCGCTTGAAGTTGCCCTTGCGTTTGCGGACCCGGGGCTTCTCCTGGCTCAGCTGGCACATGAGCAGGTGCAGCTCCCGCTCCACGATGTCCATCTCGCGCTCGGCCAGCTCTTGCTCGCGCCGCCGCAGCTGCTCCTCCTGGAAGCGCTGCTCCTGCGCCGCCCGCAGCAGCTCCTCCTCGCGGCTCCGGAGCTCCTGGGGAGGAGACGGGCGGCTTGGGGAGAGGGTGGCTTGGGGAGAGGGCCGGAGCTACCCTGCCCCCAGGGCTGGTCCCGGGGCTGCTGGGCCTGGTTGGTGTCCCGCACAGGCCGTCCTGCTGTGGGGCAAATTGGGGCACAATCCAACTTACGCTTCACTACCCGGGGTTGGGGGCGAGGGCAGGAGGCTGTGTTGGCCCAAAGAAAGGGCTGGCTTTTCTTTCTTCTTCTTTTTCTCTTTCTCTTTGATTTTTAATTTTTAAAGTTTTCAGTTTGGAAAACATCCACAAAAGCGGAGAGAGAAAAGTGCATCCGACGCACCCACCATCCATCGGACTTCGACAGTTACTTTACATATCTTTTTTCACGCATCACCTTCCTGCTCCCCTCTCCCTCTCACTTTTGATGTAGGATTTTAAAGCCAATTTCTAGACCTCACGTGGTGTCACCTGTAAGTACTTCAGGGTAGGGTGTCTTTTTTTGATCAATCTGCCAACAGGAGGCTCTCTTTCCTTAACATGTGAAAAAGGCTCCCTTCACCCTGAATGGGACCCGAAGATCCCCAGGCTCAGAGGAAGGGTCTCTGCCTCATCCACAGCATCAGGATTCAGGCACCTTGCTCCATCCCTCCCACCTCACCCCTGCCTTCACCTTCTCCTTGGTCCGGAGGTCATCGAACATGTGCTGAATCTCTAGCTTCCAGTCTTCCTGCAGTGAGTGAAAAGACTCCAGCGGCATCTGGAACAGGGCTGACTGTTCGATGACTTCAAGTTGCTTCAAGATGCTGCCAAAATCTGGCCGCCCGTGGGGGTCTGGGTCCCAGCATTCTGGGGTGGGGGTAGGGAGGACAGCAGTGGGAGTGGAGATGTCAATGGCCATGCTCTGGGGCATCAGCCTGCTCAGTGGAGGCAGGACTTTAAGGGACTGTGGACAAATAGCTCCCATGGAGCCCGGGGGAAGGAATTCAAAGCCATGTTCCTGGCAGCGTTTCACTTGGTGAAACCCTGGGGAAAGAAACTCAGGGACCTGTTCCCTGAGTGGTGGTAGAATTAAGGGTCAGGGAGGAATCCCAGGGCCAGTGAATCCTAATAGGCTGCCCTCAAGTGCTGTGGGCCTGCCTGGCCAGAACAAAGGTCTGGAGGCCACGGAGCCAACCATAGGGGAGACTGATCATGGTCCCATGGTTCCAGCCCCTTCTCCCTCACTCCTGGGCCCAACGGAATGGATGGGTGTGAAGGGGTGAGGTCTGGGCCTGAGGGCTCCTTGCCACCCCAAGCAGAGCCTACCCTCTTCCACGGGGCCCTGGCTCACCCTCCAGTAGGCGGGCAAAGGGCTCGGGGCATGTGGAGGGAATGGGCAGAGTCAGCTTGTTCATAGCCACGCCATATGCCACTGCCAAGGCGTCGATTTCACGGTAGGGGACCTCACCCGTCAGCAGCTCCCAGAGGAGTACCCCGAAGCTGCAGGTGGGGGAGAGGGAATGGTGATGCCACAGCCCACCCTCATCCTCACCTACACCCTAGCCCTGCCTCCAGTCCCGTGGTGGGCCTTCTGCCTCCCGGCATCCAGGCCCGGCCAGTGAGGCCACAAGAACTGGCTTTGACCTCCACAGCCTGATCTCAAACAGATGTGGTGGGGTGGGTCCTCTGCTGTCTCTCCTTTGCTCTGCCCCTCTTTCCTCCACTCCCCTGCCTGAAAACCTTCGGTGGGTTCCTCATGCCCACTGGGCAAGGCCACCCTCCTTAGCCCTGATCTTGCTGACCCCCACAGCTTCCCCCTCTAAACACTCTTGGCCCCTGTATCAACCCCAGCTGCATCTCGCAGCCATGCTAAACAGTTGAACAAATCCTGTTTTTCCTAACCTCTGGCCTTTGCATACATTGTTCCCTTGGTTGAGAACACACTTCCCCTTTGCCTAACTGTCCTTCAAGTCACAACTCAGGTGCCCTCTCTAACCAACAAGGCTTCCTTGATTCCACAGCCTCCAAATCCGGGTCAGAGGCCCCTTCACTACATTTCCATTGAACCCGCTGCACTTACCTCTAAGTACAAGTTAACACTATTTAACATTTACAGAGCACTTACTCTAGGCCTGCATTACTTGAGTCCTGTAAGGCAGAAGGCACTGGATAAGACCCCTATTTTATCCAGTGAGTGGGTGCAGGCTCAGAGAGGTTAAATTGTTTGCTTAAGGTCACACAGCTTGTAAGTGGTGCAGCCACACTGCACTCAGGGCCACCTGAAGCCCACAACAGCGTCCTCGGTGGCTACACAGTTCCAGAGCATGCATCACCATGCTACTGTCACCTGCACATTCATCTGCTCCAGTAAACTATGCTCCTTCTGGATCCTGATGGGTGTTTTATGTAATGCCTAACACGTAGTGGATCCCCATGCTCCCCCATATCGAGGCATGCATTCATTCAACATACACTTATTAAATGTCTGCTGTGTGCGACGCACTGTTCCGGGTACCGGAGTAAAGATAGACACAGCCCCTGCCCTCATGCAGCTCCTTTCTCAGTGACAGCTCTGGTAAATTTGAGCTGGAGGAATGCTGCCTGAAATAATTTTCCATCCTCTGTTGCATCAAAGTATGCCCATATGGCAAGGGTTCTGGCCAGTGGGATATGGAAGTGTGTAGTGTGCAACTAATTTCCAAAAAGTCTCCTTAAAGGGAAGGGGTCCCCTCTCCCCTTTTCTCCTTCCTGCTGGTTGGAATATAGACAATAAAAGCTGGAGCTCAAGCAGCCATCCTGGACCATGAAGTAGACTCAGGAATGGAGGCCATACAAGGTAGAGGAAGATGACAGTGGATTTTAAGTGTTGGTGGCCAGACCCCACCCCCTCTACCTCTTCGACATCTCTGGAAGCCTGTGGGGATGTTTTGATTGCCCAATGTCAATGACACCCCCATTAAAAACCCTAAAATAGGACTCTGAATTCCTAATAGTGTATCAGGCCTGGGCTTTTACATGAGAGCAAAAGCATCCATATTATTTTTATTTCGGGTTTTCTGTTGTCACTGAAATATGGCTTCTATAAATGTTTGGGGTCATAAATGAATGCCTTATGTGAAGCAAGACTAAACTTCCCCCCAAGGGCTGCGCTGCTCTAGTTGAGACTTCCTGTCTGATCTGTCTGCCCCAGGACCATGACTTTGCTGCTTGGTCCATCTGGAGCCTCAGCTGGGGACTGACCTGGGTTTGGCTTCCCCCCAAGAGAAGGCCGAGTTTCTGCTGTCACCAGGTCTTGCAGGTGACAAACTGCCGCCTCACTGGCCTCCTGCCCCCACTCCTGTCCCCTGAAGTCCATCAGGCGAAGGAGCCTTTGTGATGCTCCATCAGACTGTGTCATTCACAAATGCCTCCAATGGCTTCCCAGTGCACTTGGAATAAACCTGGAGTCTGCTCCCTTCTCTGCGGAGCCCTCGGCACTCTCTTTCCTCCGTCACTTCCCATGACTTTCCTCCCTGCCTGCTCTGCTCCAGCCACGTGTCCTTTTCTGGAACATGTCATGCTCGTTCTCACCTCAGTATTTCCTTTGTGGCAGCTGCTCCCCCTGCCTGGGAAGCTTCTTTCCCTAAACTCAGCATGACTGGCTCCTTCTCATCATTCAGAACTGGGCTCGAGTGCTATTTCTCATAAAAACCTTCCCCAAAGTCATCTCCAGACTGCAGAGTGCTTTTCAGTTAGCTTCTTAGCTCGTAATACTGTCTAGTCCTTTATCTGGTGGATTAACTTATTATTATTATCTTTTAAAAATTATCTTACAATTTTCTTAACTTATAAACAGCCTTTTCAGCTTCACATGTATGTATGTGAAAGTGAAGTGAAAGTTGCTCAGTCGTGTTTGACTCTTTGTGACCCTTTGGACTGCAGCCAGGCAGACTCCTCAGTCCATGGGATTCTCCAGGCAAGAATACTGGAGTGGGTTGCCATGCCTTCCTCCAGGGGATCTTCCTGACCCAGGGACTGAACCCATGTCTCCTGTGTCTCCTGAATTGCAAGGGATTCTTTACCCACTGAACCGTTAGGGAAGCCCGTGTATGTATGTATTATTCCTGTGGGCAGGAACTGGGTCTGTTTTTATATGCTGCTATATCCCCTGAGCCCAGGGCAGTTGGATGAATGAATGAATGAATGAATGGTTACCTATAAAGGTCTCAGTTTCCTGTCTGAGGAGTGGGGGCCATGTCATGGATGGTGTTTTGAGGATCTTTGGTGCTGACAGCCTATCTCTCTACCACTTCTGCTAGCAGAGCAGGTACCTGCTTTGCTGCTTGTCTGCTGGTCTGACCTTGCCAGCAGCCCCTTTGCTGGATCCCAGCTCCCAGCGGCTGTGGCAGCCGGTCCCTCCCACTCTGCCCTTCTCCCCCTTCCTCCCTCCTCCACTCCCAGGAGGCCTCCCCTCCCTGTCCCCCACCCCACCATCAGCACCTCCAGACGTCACTGCTTTTGGAGAAGAGGGAGAGACGGATAACCTCTGGGGCCATCCAGGCGTACGTCCCCGCAGCGCTCATTTTGGTGGTCTTGTGCCACTCGCGGGCGAGGCCAAAGTCCGTGATCTTGAGCACCGTGTCTGCGAGGTTGTGGTTCTCTATGGCCTCCAGGATGAGGACTGCAGGGTGGAAAGAAAGGGGGGGTCATCCTAGATCTGCTTAGCTGCAGACCTGTGTCCTACCCCCACCTCACCTGGAATCTCCTATTTGTTCTCTCCCTGTCACCGTGGGTCACCCCCTTCTGCAGTAGCTCCTTTCCAGGCCAGAAGACCATGAACCCTTTCCCCCTGGTCTAATTGCTGCCTTAGCCTCCCATGAAGGGTTAGGGAGCCTCCTGAGTCTAACCTGGGCTCCCAGGAGTTCAGTGAAAGGTTGATAGCCATGGCCTTGGTTCTCCTTGGTCTACGTTCAGATTCCCAACCACCCCAGAAGTGGTAACTGCAGACATGAGCAGGAGGGGATGGTTTTCCTTTCCCTTTTGTCACCTGCTATGGGGCTTTCGTGGCCCCAGTTCTACTCTTTTTTTTGTCACACTCTTTGCCATGTGTATCTCCCCATTCTTTACTTTGGGTTGGCTGTGTGACTCAACTTGTCTGATAAAATGAGTCAGAAGAGACAGTGCCAGTTCCAAGCCCAGGCCTCTCATATCTGCTTGCCCTCTTGCCCTTCTGCCCTCACCACAACAACATGCCTTGGCTAGCCTGCTGGTCCAAGGAAGATGAGCCCCACCTAAATCAGTTTACCTCCAGCAGGCCTGCAAATGTATGAGCAGTAACAAAGGACACTGAGTTTTAAGACACAAGTTTGCCGGGTGTGTGTGTGTGTGGGGGGGGTTTGTTACACCGCAGTATTATAACAAAATCTGACTGACTGATCTATCCCCCAAGCACATTGAATGGTTCCAACTTACTTGCTGCCTAGAGTGATTACTAACAACAGTAACAATCATGGCCAGTGTTTATCAGGAGCCTATTATATGGCAGGTACCGGGTTAAACCCTTTAAACAAATTAACTAGCAAGCAACCCATTTTATTGACAAGCAAATTGAGGCTCTGGCATGTGACTCTACCTTCTAGAAGTCTTCCCTTCTCAAGTCACCAACTCCTGCTTGTGGTGTGACCTTGTGACACAGGGAACACCCCATGGCCTTATACTTTATTTCTCCCATGCTGGGAGAAATAACTCCCAGAAATAACTCCCTAACTCAATTCACTTACATATATATGTATATATAACATACATCTATATACTATATAGTCCATGGAATTCTCCAGAATACTGGAGTGGGTAGCCATTCCTTTCTCCAGGGGATCTTCCCAACCCACGGACTGAACCCATGTCTCCAACATGGCAGGCGGATTCTTTACCAGCTGAGCCACCAGGGAAGCCCATGTTATATATACGTTATACAGATATAACATAATTATGTATGTATATAAAATTGTTACCCCTGCTTAAGACCCTCTAATGGCTTCTACTACATTGAACAAAATACCCAAAGTCTTCACCATGGCCCCTCAAGACTGACGTGATCTGGCCCATCTACTTTTATGACCTCATCTCCGTCTTCTGCCTGACTCCTGCTCTTCCAGCCTCTTCAGTCTCCTTGCTGTTCCTCCAACAAGACACCTTCATCCCCACCTTAGGACCTTTGCCCTGCCCAGGTCTTCATAAAGCTGGGTCCTCTGGGTTCAGGTCTCTGCTCAAATGTTGCCTTCCTGGACCATCTAATCTAAAGAGCTCCCTCTGCCCCATCCTTAATCTGCTTTATTTCCTACAAAACCCTTGATACTCTGAAATTTTGTTATCTATTTAAACACCAACCATCTATTTCTGTCCACTAAAATATAACTTCCATAAGTGTGTGTGGGGAGTAATCTTATCTTGTTCACTTCTGTAATCCCCAGAGCCCAGGACAGTCCCTACACTTAATTCTGCTTCAGAATTATTAGTTGAATGAACCAATGAATGAATGACATCAGGTGAGGAGTTCCTCGGGGAGGCTAAACTGAGGAAGCTGTGCTGTGGAGGCCCTGTTTCTCTGTCTCAGGCATGCATCAGTCCCAGTGCCCAATCAGGAAGCCAGGCTAAGGGCGCCCACTGACCCCTTGTCCAAGTGGCATTTGGCTACAGAAAAATTTGGGGCCATGGGAGCATGTTCTTATACCCCACCTGCAGGCTGTGAATCAGCAGGAGTGAGGAAGGACTGAGAAGGGACCCAGGCTTCAAGAGGAGCATGTTGCCAGTCCTGCCTCCATTTACCCAAAATTTCAGAGTTAGAGCATGAGCATCGAAGAGGATGGGGGCTGTCTGTCTGTCTGGCTCAATTCCCCAGCCCTGGTGCAGGACTGGTCACACCATGGGCATGTGGTAGCTGTCTGTTGAGTGAATGTCAGACCTGGCAGGTGAGAAAGACCCCACCCCTCTACTCCAGGGGCTAGCAGAAAAATAGTGGGGTGGAGTCAAACATTTCAAGATGTAGAACTGACATGAATCAGAAACAGATGACATGTGAGGATTGAGGGCAAAGAGAAAACCCTCCCATATTATGTGAGGGCAGGGAACATGTTGGCCTCACTCACAATGGGCCTCTCTTTCATAGTATATGACCTGATCCAGTAAACACCAAATGACAGAATAAACAAATCAATGTAGACAAGAAAGGGAGTGACATGGGGCAGAGGAAGGATGGGAGAGCCAGAAAGGTAGGATTTTTCTTTCCCTGCTGTGTCCTAACAGTCAGGACAGGGTCTGGTACCCAATAGGTGCTCAGGAAATATCCAGGAAATGAATGAAACCCCTAGATGGTGAGTGCCATAGGGCAGAAACCATGGCTGTTTTGGTCCCTGTTGGGCTTCAACGTGATAGGTACTCAGTTAATATTTCCTGACATCATGAGAAGCTGGTTGATCTAGATGTAAGTTCTGGGGAACCTTGCCTTCCATCTGGCCCCAGTTCTCCTTCAACCAACCAATCAACTTTTGAGAGTCTTATGATAGGCCAGGCAGCCTGGAAGCTTTTACATAAGCCACATCCCTTTTCTTCCTCCTCCTCCTCTTTCCCAGTTTGTCTTGGCTAGCTGGGACAGAGGCCCAGGAGGACACCAGGAAGTAGTTCTCAACTGAGGGCTATTTTGCCCTACAGAGGACATTTGGCAATGTCTGAAAACGTTTTTGGTTCTCATAACTGGGGGATGGGGAATGCTAATGGCATCTAGTGGGTAGAGGCCAAGGATGCTACTCCATAACTTACATCACCCAGGTCAGCCCCTCTGCAACCCTCCGGTGCCAAATGTCCATAGCACTGAGGCTGAGAAACCCTGACTCCGGGTCAGGCTCTTTCTGTCTCTGCCTGGTGGACTATGGTAGTGCTGGACTGTAAGGGCCATGAGGGCAGGCACTATACCTGTCCTGTTCACAGCAGGGAACACAGGGCCTGTCACAGTGTTCATGGAAACATGTTTATAGAGCTACTGTGACTGCAGTCTTCAACCTTTCTGGGCTTCCTTTTCCTCCCTTAATGGGACAAGGGCTGTCTCACCCAGCCCTGAAGGTATACTGCTGCCCCCTCTTGCCCCAGCCAAGATTTTCTGGTGTCCCCCTCCCGCCACCAAAGCATGGCCTCACAAGTTTCAATGGAAGCAAGTTTTTGGAGGAGGACACCACTTACTGTTGATGGACTTGAGGTCCCGGTGGATGATGGGAACAGGGGCATCATTGTGTAGGTAGTTCATGCCCCGCGCCACCTGCACAGCCCAGTTGACCAGCACGTGAGGGGGCACCCGGCGCCCTGCCAGCACCCTGCTCAGGGCGCCCCCTCTGGCATACTCCATCACCAGGCAGAGGTGTGGGGGGCTGAGGCAGGCACCCCTGAGGGCAATGATGTTGGGGTGCTGCAGGGCTCCGAAGAGTCGGGCCTCCTGGCGCACCTGCTCTGCTGTCACCGCCGGGTCCCGTTCAGGGTCCAGCCGGGCGGCCTTGACCGCCACCTCCTCGCCTCGCCACAGGGCCCGATAGACCTTGCCAAAGCCCCCTACGCCGATGATCTCCTCTAGCTGCAGCTCGTGGAAGGGAATCTCCTGGGGCAGCTGGAGGCCGGCGGGGGCGGCGGGGGTGCCGAGGGCCACGTAGTTGCTGGGGAAGACGCCCACACGACCGCTGGGTAGCTGCCCGGTCCACCAGCCCTCGTCGCCCGACACGGCACAGTCCTGGGAAAGCACCTGGACGCGGTCGCCCCTCCGCAGGGTCAGCTCCTCGTCGCCCGCGGCCTCGTAATCGAACACTGCGGTCCAGACGGGCCCCGCGGGGGTCGTGCCCCACTCCTTGGCCGCCCCCCACTCCTCCTCCTCCATGGGGGAGGGGCCGGGGGCTGCGGGAGGCCGCTTCACACTGGCTGCCCGCGGGATGCAGAGGGCGGGCCCCGGCGGCCAGTATGGGGGTCAGTCCCTGCGGATTCTAGGGGACTCCTGGGGGCCATGGCGGGGGGGCCCTCCACAGGAGCAAGAAAAAGCCTCTTTAAACGGGCAGGGTCGTGCCCCCTGATTCAGCTGTCCAGGCAGGGTGGGGTGGGGGAAGGGCGGCAGGTTCACCTGTCCCCCCTAAACGTCAGGGCGCTAAGAAGGCCTGGCCGCGCAGCTGCCGAATTCCTGCCGGGGTCCGCCGGTGGGGGACGAGGGTGAGGGAAGCAGGCAGCCCCCTTCCCCGCGCCTCTCACCCCGCGCAGCTCCACCGGCGGCCCCCGGCTCCGCATCCCGGGCCACAACCTCCGGGCGGGGCGGGGCTGGCGGGGCTCCGGGGGGCGCCCGCCCCAGGACGGGGTGGCGCGCCCCTCGGCCTCCTCACACGCGGGGCGGCCGGTCGGCCCCCATCCTCAGCACCGGCCTCCCGGTTGGCCCCAGCCCCTGCCCCCGCCCGCGCCGCTTCCAGGGGCCGCCGGCGGTGCCTGAGTGACGTGCTCGCTGCCGCCGCGCCGCGGTGCCGCCTGGGAGTTGTAGTCTCCGGCAGCGCGGCTTCGAAGTCCGTCCCCGTCCCTCAGCCTCCAGAGCCTGACCGCCGGTTCGGGCCGAAGTGGGGACTACGCGGGGCCGAAGGAATCCTCTGGGTAGATAAGCCTGGCCTCGGACCCTCCCTGAAACGCGGTGGGCCGGACGCCTGGAGGAGGAGAGGAGGAAAGGGCCGAGCGCTCCTCACAGTCCCTTTGAGGGCCGCAGCCCAAGGTGGGGTTGACGGTGACTGACGCGCTTCGCAAAGGGAAAAGTAGGAGCTGCATGAATGCTGGTTACTGCCCCGAGCCTCTAACGCGGCCAGGACGAGGTCCCCGCGGCTGGACGGCCCCTAGGGGGCCCGACCCGAGGTGCACGCTGGGAAGTGTAGTCCATTCGGACTACACGCCGGACCGGCTCTGTGGGGAGGCAGCCCCCCGGCGAGCTGCCAAAAGCTCGCGGGTCGGGCTGACTGTGAGGCCTCTGCTGAGAAGACGGGGCTGGGAGATTGTGTCGAGTGTCCCTGAGGAAATCACCGCCACATCTGCTTTCCCCACCAGCTCTGGGTTCCTCTGCCTCCACAGTCACAACTCGAGAATCCCCGCTTTCCATAATGGGAACTTCAATTTACTGGGGCTTAATATGCATCCTATTGCTAAGTGCCCGCACACATGGTGGTACTAAATGCTCTCAAAGCCCCATTTACAGATGACGCCTAGGGAAGTAAAGTGTCTTGTCCAAGGTCACAAATGTAAATGATAAAGCAACAATCAAAGGCAGATTTTAAAATTAAAACCCACCACGACGGCGACAACAGTAATTTTTTAAAAACCGTGCCTTCCCATTTAAAGAGTGGGTAAACAGTCCTGCCAGAGGTTCGGCGAATTGCTCAAGATCCGAAAGCTTGTAAGCAGCAAAATTCTGCATCTTTTCACTTAGCCTCTCCTGACTGGTGTGAGGGTCTGGCGGGAGGAGAGAGAACCATGACGGGCTCTGGTGCCTGAACCCTAGAGAACTGCTCCACAGTCTCCTGGGAAGTTGTTCCCTGCTCAGAGGGAAAAGGGTACCTGCTCTCCTGGCTACCTGTGAGGGAAGCTCAGGAATTCTCAAGAATTCCTTGCTTGTTATGAGAGGCCCCAGCTTCTTGAGAACAGGTCTTTCTACTATAACCTGATACATGCTTTCCTGAAAAACCTGTAGGTCTGCAAAACAGTGCACTGTTAAAAATAAAAAAGCTTTATGGGGTAAAAGAGAATTAGGGACAGCTTGCTGAAAACATATGCAACTGTATAATGAGTTATACAAAACCAGTAATGAATTCCAATAAAAATGTGCTCAGCCGTCCCACTCTTTTTGACCCCATGGATTGTAGCCCGCCAGGCTCCTCTGTTCAGGGGATTTCCCAGGCAAGAATACTGGGAGTGGGTTGTCATTTCCTCCTATAGGGAATCTTCCCAACCCAGGGATGGTGCCCACGTCTCCTGCCTTGGCAGGCAGATTCTTTTTATCAGTGAGCCACCTGGGAAACCCTAATATAAATACAATCTCAGTTAAATTTCCAGAGGGCATATGCACTTAGCAATACTTTCTGTGCCTTCTTTGCAATTTTAAAGGCTGGGGCTTGTACCTTCTTCACAGAGATGCCGATCTGGAGATACTTTCTCATGGAGATTATTTTCATCAAAAGTAAAAATCTGGAGAATTCCCTGATGGTCCAGTTAGGACTCTGCTTCCACTACCATGGGCACAGGTTTGATCCCAGTCAGGGGACTAAGATCCCTGCAAGGTGCCCAGGACTGCCAAAAAAAGAAAATATGATCCAAGTTGTAGTCTTCATTAATCTGGGAAAATATTGTTGCAGTTTCTTCACCTGCTTTCACAGTTTGCCACATACTATCTCATTGGAAAAGACCCTCATGCTGGGAAAGATTGAGGGCAAGAGGAGAAGGGGGCAACAGAGGATGAGATGGTTGAATGGCATTACCAACTCAATGGACGTTAGTTTGAGTATCTCTGGGGCATAGTGAAGGACAGGGAAACCTGGCTTGCAGCAATCCATGGGATCGCAAAGAGCCAGTCAGGACTTTGTGACTGAACAACAATATTATTGTAGTAAATGTTACGGTTTTTGAAGTCACTAAACTATTCATTGTGGATCTAAAGGAAGACATTTCTGTAGAGTTGCAGCTTCTCCCTTTAATATCTTCTTTTATTACTAAGTCTTCCCCTTTATTTATGGGAAAATTTACCTCTGATGGCTTCAAAACATTAGCCTCCGAGAGAAAATTGCCTATTAACCAATATGATGGTGATATGCTACCATCTTGTTTTGTTTACCAATTGTTTATGGGGTGATTCAAGTCAAAGAAGGTGAGCAGCAGGACAGGTGGTCTCCAAGCAGATGCCTAGACTTCAGTGAGGAGGACTTGGCTTGGTTCTAAACCTGGGGGACTCTGCGATGGGAATGGGGAGTGGGGTGGCATTTGTCAAATCCATAAGAAAAATCCTTTGGATTTTGGTTGGGAATGTAATGAATAATTAATTTGGGGAGAATCTATTACTTTGTAATACTGATTCTTCCGTTCTTGGATGTAAGTATAATTTTTTCCTGGGATATCTTATATATGGTTTTTGGTTCACTGACTGGACTTGACTGTTTTTACTTTTTCACTAGTGGCTCGGATTTTTTTCTTCCCCCTAATCAGTTACTGCTGTTTTTAATGCTGAGCTTGGATCTGGCTACCTTGTTGAACTCACTCTTATTCGTTCTAGAATAGCTTGACAGATAATTCTCCATACTATTCTAGCTAGATGGCCCTGGTGTCCGGGGGGTGGGGGGTGGTGGAAATAAAAGACAGCTTAATTTTTCCAATCTTTATAACTCATTTATCACCCCTCCCACTTTGGTTCAGAGTTCCAATACAGTGTTGAATGACAGTCATGATAATGGACAATCCTTGTCTTGTTCTAGACTTTTAAAAAGAATGCCCCTAAGGTTTCATCAAGTATGATATTTTCAGTACATTTTAAAAATTTATTCCTAACTGCTATGAAGTTTTTTTTCAGTAGGTATTGACTCGTATTAAATGCTTTCTATACATTTATTGATATAATCAGATGACTTTTGTGTTGTTAATATAGTATCATCCTTTCTTTCACTATGGCTGGATTTGATTTAATACTATTTTATTTAGAGTTGCTGTGCATTTGTTTTCATGAATGGAATAGACTGACTCATGGTTTTCTTTCTTGCGCTGTCCTTGCCCAGTTATGACTTAAGGGAAGCACCCACTCCAGTACTCTTGCCTGGAAAATCCCATGGGCAGAGGAGCCTGGTGGGCTGCAATCCATGGGGTTGCAAAGAGTCGGACACGACTGAGCGACTTCACTTTCACTTTTCACTTTCATGCATTGGAGAAGGAAATGGCAGCCCACTCCAGTATTCTTGCCTGGAGAATCCCAGGGACTGCGAAGCCTGGTGGTCTGCCGTCGAAGGGGTCGCACAGAGCCGGACACGACTGAAGAGACTTAGCAGCAGCAGCAGCAGCAGCAGCATGCTCTATGCTTTGAGAGAGGGAGCCACCTACCATTTCTTACACTCTGGAATGCTTTGTGATATATTAGAGGTATCTGTCCCTTGGACATTTGAGTGTCAGATCATTCGTGTTGGATGCCTTTTTACTAGGTCTTTGACTACAATTTCAACCTCTTCTGTGGATATTGGTTTATTCAGATTTATTACTTTCTTCCAGAATACATTTTTGTAATTTATATATGCCTAGAACAGTATTTTATCTGGGATTTCAGATTCATTGGCATAACTTTATGCTTATTATTTCTGATGAATCATATGGATCTGAAGTTATATTTCTTTTGGCTTTCCTGCTGTTTATTTATTCCTTCTCTTATCCTTCTGGATCAGATTTGAAAAAAAAATTTACAGTTTTATTGGTCTTTAAAAAACTTTCAGCTTTATGTTTGCTGAGAATAAGTAGAAGATAATCCCTTTTACTTATTTTTTGGAGGGATATTTTATTTCATTAATTTCTGCCTTGTTGACTCATTTTTTTCCCATATTTGTATTTATTTTGTTATTATGTTTACCCCAGGTTTTGATATGTAGTGTTTTCATTGTCATTCAGTTCCAAAAGAATGTAATTTCAATTCCTCTTAACCCCCAAATTATTTAGAAATGTGGTTTTAATATCTAGGTAATGGATTTTTCCTTGATTTTCTTTTTGTAGTTGATTTCTAATTTTGTTTAATGAGTGTATTTTGAATGACATAAATTGTAGGAATTTATTGAGATTTCATTTTTGACCTAGTATGCAGCAGTTTGGGGTTTTGTTTTGGAAGTGTTCTGTTGCTGT